AGTCCGGGATTAATCTTTATGGTCTTAACTTAAATGCGTGAGAAATCTGGAGCCTGGACCACCAAGCCACCATTATAATATATGTCTCGTGTATGTACATGTGTGTGCGTGTGTGCGTGTATATATATATATATATATATATATACATATATGTGCATGTACTCTGTAAGTGATCTGTATATTGTCTTCCTACGATCTATGAATCCATAGTTGTACGTACACCTTATCAAGCATGCAAATCGATCAAAATAATTAATTAGTAAGAACTGATCGTATACATATTGCATCCCCATGAGATTCCAGAAGCTACCCAATTGGAAAGAAAGATCATTTCTGCTCATGCCTGCTATAATTGATTAGTACTTGGATTTTTTATAACTCGGTCCTAATTAAGTATGGATTTCAATAGATGTAATTGAACACCTTGAAGATTCAACCGTTTAATCCTTAAATATAATCGAAGGTGGAAAGAAAGTTACACCTTTTAAATACAGTCAAAAAGATTTTTGAGAAAAGTTTTATGTTTGTAATATGAAAGTGGTATATATATATATGTATGTATGCATAGTTTTGTGGTTAATATATATATATATATAATAAGGTGATGGGTTTTTATAAGGTTTAGCTAGCCGAAAAACTTTAGGTGAAAACTCAAAAGAAAATGTCAAGAAGGTCTGCAGGAATGGCGGGTAATAATGATGAAGGAAGAAAGGGGAAACTCAAACGGAAATTCAGCCCAAGTACTCTAATAATACATCCACTACTTCTCTAATTGCTACACAATTTCTATACAGTGGAAGACAGAAGAAAGGCTTGGATTTCAATTCTTTCCTTTTAAGAAATATTCAAGTTGATCAGCCGCGTAGAGATCAATCCACCACGATATACATTCATACATATATATATATATATATATATTCTGTATGATGAAATGATATCAAATGCACAGTATTTTGATTAATTTTATCTTTAAAATTCTGTTCAATTACACAGCAATTTCTTCGTTTAAATTTTTAAGTTTTTTTCATTGGATAATTAAGATATTTTTTCATTTTTGTTTGAAAACAAATTAAGACATACTTGTGCGTTCAAAATTTTATTCAGAAAATTTAAAATCTTGTTTAGTAATAAACTCTAGATTATAAACTAAACTTTATGAGGTTTGCAATCTTCAGTTGCCATGGTTAAATTACATAATATGAATTAAACTTTGGCAAAAAATTTACAGTTGACAGTCGCTGCTTTGTATTTTCTAAAGTTGGGCAAATACGTTTAGGGAGCTTTGAAAAGAAAAATGGCAATTAAAGAAAGAATCAATAAAAAATTATTTATTATTTCTAATTTGATAAAAAGAAACAATCAGATGATTCCACTATATTGAATAAAAGTATAACTAAAATTCCAAAATCCGTGGCCAATTTGGCGGTCAATTAGAGAATGACGGTCTTTTTGACAAATAAGTGGTGGGTAGAAGTGTTGACTATTCCTATAAAAAAATAAGTTAGAGATCAAATGATCAAATCAACGACATGATTTTCCACAATTCCACCTGATAAGTTTAGTTTAACACGACATAGTTATTTGTCCAGATCTGCTCCCTTTTTTTTTTTTTTTTTTTGGTCTCACCACGACTAAATTTTTCACTGTTCTGGTCTTCCTAGTCATAGCCCATAGGATCCCCCCAATCTATGGCCCCATACCCCTCATAAATGTTCTATGCACATCTCACAGGAAACATAATTAATCTCATAAACCACCTAAAACACCCAGAAGATTTGATGGGTTTTTAGTTATGAAATTATTATTGACAAAAAAAAAAAAAAAAAAAGTGAACAAAATAGAGGGGAGATAAACAAATACCCGTTGGATTTTTCTTCACTTGCCAAAACTATAAACCATAAGAGGAGAACAATGAGATTATGTTTTTTGCCTTCATCTAGAATCTTGACCGAATCACTATAGTCTACATCTGGTCTCAATCCAGTCCCACCGAAAACCGTGTGATGCTGGCAATCTTGTATTGATAAACTCTAGTGTGACCCTTGTGATTATGGATAACAAGTCCGCAGCCTCGTTGACTTGACATGATAAAATCTATGGCTCACATCACATGTTATTGTGAATATGCGGACACGTTCTACTCGCTTATGTGCCAAGATTGATAGCCATGATGAGGATGATGTTGCTGCAATGCAAACTTGCCCTTTCAGCTAAAAATCAAAGAGGCCTTGTTAGAATCTGACAACCAATGGTGGTACTGAAACCATTTGCCAATGCGGAGGGCCAAACCCATGGCACGAAAACATGTTAAAAGAGAATTCACTTTCATATTGACGTTTTTTTTACATGATCAAGTATCTGGTTCAATATTTCTACTTCTCATGTAGGTTAAAAATTGAGTTGGCAATTCTGCCAGAAGTGCTTGCACAACAGAAATTTCTCCACCTGGGTGCAAAAGAGATGGAAACTAAATTAGGTTAACCACAAGGCTTTCTGACAACAAGTTGGTTCATCTGATGCAACTGAATGACTTACTCTGGACTTCCCTAAATGGAACAAACTGAACTATATCACGTGAAGCAACACGGCCGCTCGAACTTTCAAGTCTTTCTCCCTTATCTGCATCTAAAATCTGTGAAAAGAAAATAAATTTCAGAGAAAGGAACCAAGATAAAATTTTTTAAGCTTCTAGATAACTCGCGTGAAAAATGAAAAATAAGTAATACTATGGTAGGTACCTCCATTTCTTTAAAGTCAGCTCCCCCAACACCAACAATTAGGATTGACAATGGTAGGTCAGATGCCTTTACCAGGGCGTCTTTGGTCTCTTGAAGATCTGTTACTACTCCATCCTGGAAAATGTTACAAATGTTAGGCTAAAGTAGAACCCAAAAGTGGGATTTCTTTTCTCCAAAACAAACAAGCTAGCTTTGACCAGTGGGCACTGAAATAAATATTGCAGATCTTTGAAAATCCCTCAGAACCTTAAGGTTGCAGGATAAGAAAAGAAAACATGGGAAGAAAAAAGTACTGCATGTAGGTAAGACAATATGCATCATATCATGTCTTTAATAATATAATTCAAATTTTATGAAGTCAAAATTATCATTATTTTCCAATTCCAATTCTTATATTACCGTGATTATCAACAAAACATAGTATTTTCGTCCATCGCATGCAAGAGACTGGCTGGCATTTGCTGCAGCACTGCTAATCACAGGTCCAAAAAGTGTCGGCCCTGCAAGAGAGACATTCAAGAGGGCACTCATATATGCCGTCAAAATTCCTTGAATACCATCTACCTGAAAGATTCATTTATATACAGTTAATACAGGCTGAGTAGAAAAATGAACATTGAAGATGATGAAGGGAAGCTTCTAGTTCAGCAACTGTTGCACCTCACTGTAATTACTGCTCCCATTCAAATTAAAACAATGTGAAACTGGGCCATCAATTGGTCGTGCTCCAAAACCCCATGCTGGAAAGCGTTTGTCCGAATCATAAAACTGCAACACCTCTCCAACCTCCAAGATTGCCTGAAAAGCAACATCTTACATTTAGGGTTAATGCAGTACACATCAATTAAGAACTAATAAATGAGAAACTGAGTTCTCACTCTCTGGTAGGCATTTGGCCGTCCTGACGGATCAATATAATGCAATGAATCAGGAAGGCGGGGATTTCCATTTGAAGCTGACAGACATAGTATTGAATTAGTCATAAGAACCCATTCCAGCACCTAAAACATCTGAAAAATAATGTCTTAAAACAGCTCTTTTTGAAAAGGAGCAAAAAAGAAGGTTGTTGATCATATTCGCATCAATCCCATTAACCAAAGTTATATCAAAAACCTTGCTTCATTATAGTGCAAGTCAACATTATCTAGGGGAATATTGTATCTGCAAAAGTAACTCAGAGATAGGTCTGAGTATCAGTTAATTTTATGGAATATTTAATTTGATGTGTTTCAGGATTGGCAATAGGTAGAAGGTAAGCTTCTGGTGTGATCGTTGGAAAGGGAATAGGCCTTTGAAAGTCTTCCTCTTTTTGGCTAAGATAAAGATGCTTCATTATTGAGCCATTTAGGTTTAGATGAAGATAAGAACCCCTCGTGGAGCATCTCACTGTTCAGCAATTTGTAAACAAGTTATTTCCCAACATTGCCTTATATTAAAGCAAGCAAGATTGTAAACAAGTTATTTGTGAAGCACACAGTCTAGGTATGAGATTTTGGGCATTAGTTAACACCCAAGTAATTGCTTCACAAGGGCATGGGGTTGGGGGTTGAGGGGTTGGGGTGGATGTTGAGGGGTCAGTTTGTCTGGCGAACCTTATGAGACAGGTCTAGAATTAACCAACTTGGGTGGCCGGAATTCTGTGGGTGTATTTCGTTGAAGGTTGCTCCTGGGTGGAGGGTGAGATTTTGGAAAGATGAGTGGCTGAAGATGGACCTCTCCAACGACATTAATATTCTACACCATTGCTCCATTTTAAAGTGGACCCCACAAGATTTGATGAGTTACTTTGGAAGTTAGGTGGTAATGGGAACTTTAGCATGAAATCTTTCCACTTACATGTTGCCAACTCCTCAACAAATTATTGTGGTTTTTCTAGGGAAAAGAAATCAAAAATTGGATGCATCACAGTGGAAACTCGGGAGAGGTAGTAAAATCAAATTTTGGGCTAATGAGTGGATGGAGGAGGCAGTCTCAAAGATTGTTTTCCAATGATTTTTTCCACCGCTGAATTCACGAACATACTCATTGAAGATACGTACCAACGGTCGAATGACAATGTAAATTAGTTCATAAATGTTGTAAGAAACTTAAATGACTGTAAAATTAGTGAGTATGTGGAAATTCTTAAGATTTTATTATCATAACAAATCTCACTAACTCTTAACAAATTGTTTGAAAATTAAAGAAGTCTCAGAGATTTTCGATTAGATTCTACTACAATTTCTTAATGAAGGATCTTACGGTGGTTCATCAGAACTTTCCTTACAAGCATATCTGAAAACTAAAGTCCCTTTGAGGGTTGCATTCTTTACTTGGGAAGCTTGTTGGAAAAAGATTCTCACAATTGATGAACTTAGAGCTAGAGGATAGATTCTCGTGAACGGATGTTATATGTGTCTGATGGCTAAGAAGTCCTGTAATCATCTGCTGCTTCGGTGCCCTGTGACTATGACTTATGGTGTATGATTTATGGTTTGTTGGGGATTCATTGGGTCACGGCGGGTTTAGTTTGCGAGGAAATTTCGGTTTGGGATAGGTTATATGTAAAAAGAAACACTATAAACATTATTCCATTTACTATTTTTTGGGTTATCTGGAAAAGAGCGGAATTAAAAGCTTTTAAACACAAATTTAGTTGTTCATATAGCATTAGAGATAGATGGATGCATTCTTTTGGGATTATCTTGTTAGGTTATGATATTATTAGTGATGTGGATTTTGGGAATATCATTGATACTCTAACTCTTTTGTAATTTTTTGTACATGAGTAGTACCTGTTTTGATACCTTATTAATACAATACTTCACACTTTTATTTTAAAAAATTTGGGATACATCACCTAGATTACTTCTTGCTGGCAGGCTGCAAGAGGGGGAAGATTTTGTAAATGGATATGATGTAGGACATCACATAAAGTGATAACAGATCCTAATAAAGTGATAACCAAAAATTATATATTGAGCCATACTTCTGAACTACAAAGAAGCTAAGTGTTGTTATAACAAATATACTAAAGCTTCTGCTAGCAACATCAATCATAAAGCGTCCAGAGATTCACTAACTTAGCAGCCAAGGGAAGGAATTCATGATTCCCAACTACTTAAGAATCAAGAATAATTTTTGGAAGATCATAGAAAGCATAACCAGATCCTAATATAGTAGGCAGCTTGATAGTTGAACATCAAACAATATCTGTGTGCATAAAAACAAAGAGGCTGTGACTAAGAATTGATATAAGAATGGATATCCTTGCATTGCACTTCTGACAAATAAGTTTATGCCTTGAATTAAAATGTGATTAAGAAAAAGATAACTGGATACACAGGAGAAATCAGCAATCATGACCTGAAGATCTAGAAGAATACCTGTGAAATCAACAGCCACCATGAAGTTCATTTCAAAACCTGCAGCCACGTAATCCAGGAAAGTGTATTGAATACTCTCAGAAAACTTGTTTACAAATAGCTGGCTCTTCAATATCTACAATTAAACAAACAAGTTGAAGATTAACAAGCAAAGGAGGTAAAAGATGTAATCAATTCCAATTTATACTGTTATACTTTGTGTTGATGGTTATGGCCACCAGCTGTTGGTAAAAATAAATTTTCTCCTTGACTGCTCAAATGAAGCTTTTCCAAGTTCGCAAGTGATTTCTGCACCTTTCTGATGAAAATACAAATAGGAATGGTCAATAATCCAATCTCAGATATTTCAAAGAAAGAAAGACAGAGAAAAGAACATCTCGCTTTACCCAATTAGATCATGCTTGCCATTGCTATTGAAGTTAAAGCACTCAATTATCAACGGAGTGTCCTGCATGTTAATTTTTTTTTAGCAAAACAAAAAAGAAATTTGAGCCATGTACCAATAAGAAAGTAAAGAAAGCATCTTTTTTTTAGAGACAAAAAGTATAAAGTTATCATAGATATCAGTAATACCACCATT